TTATAACATCATAGTTCCATTGACTGATCCAGGTCTAAGCTCATCTGCCTTGCCTGTTGTACTCTTTGCATTAAAATAAATACACTTCAGACTGCCAGTCTCAGTGTATTCATTATCTGGCCCTGCCTGTCCCTCCATCCCCCTGCCACAATACTTTAAACCTTCCCAAATGGTACTAGCAAACTCTCTGCAAGGATATTGGTTACCCTCCAATTTATGTGCAACCTGTCCTTCCTGTACAGGTCCCTTCTGCTCTGGAAGAAATGCCAATGATCCAGATATCTGAAGTCCTCCCTCCTACACCAGCCCTTTAGCCACACATTAACCTGTATTATCTTAATTTTTCTGGCCTCACAAACATGTGCCAGAGCATGTAATCCTGAGATTACAATCCTAGAGGTCCTGCTTTTCAACTTCCTACCAAATTTCCAAAATTCCATTTGCAAGGGAGTAGTCTGTCTTTCTGTCTATGCTGTGAACACCAGTAAGGACCACAACCTTTAGCTACTCACCCTCCCCTTTCAGAATGTCCTATGCCCACTCATCCTTGACCCTGAAGCTACAAGATGGTCAGAGGCTAAGGAAGTGGTAAGTAACTCATCCCCTAACACCTGAAAACCTGTCCACCATCTGGAAGGTACAGATCAGGGAATGATGAAATAATTTCCAGTTATGTGGATAAGGTACAATTCTAACAATGCTCAAAAAGCTCACTGCCATCTATGATAAAGCAGTCTGTTTGACTGGCATCTCATTTACCAACTTAAAACATTCACTCCCAATACCGCTGATGCACAAGAGCAGCAATGTGTGTCATCTAGAAGGTGCACTGCAGCAACTTGGTACGGCTGCATCAAAAAACATCCTCCAACATATGACCTCTTAGAAGGACAAAGGCAGCAAAGACTGGGGAGCAGCAGCATCTGCAAGCTCCCTTCCAAGCCACCTGGTCAGAACTGGGCCTTGAAACTGTTTCACTGTTCCTTCATTGTTGATGAACCAAAATCTTAAACCTTCATTCCTAACAGCACTGTGATTGTCCCTACACTTCAAGAAGGCAGTTCACCACCACCATCTATATATTGACCATTATATATTGGCAATAAATGCAGGCCCAGCCAGAGATGTTGGTATCCCATTAACTAATTAGAATTATAAAGTTCCACGTCCAGCAAATTATTATTAAATTGGCTTGCTGTGATTAGGGATGCATTCACCAGTGACTGTTTGGGTGGTAAGGCAGGAAATTCATCTTCTGAAAAATGTTGCTTGTGGCTCTAGATTTCTCTATTTGTACTTCCTATTATCTCCACACTTGCTGCATTTAATCCAGTAATTTCTTTTTCTTGAACAGGAGCATTAACAACTTGTCATCAAACTTTCAAAATCCTGCCATAATGTCCATTCTTTGTTTTCCTTTAGTGTACCATCCAGCTGAGACAAAATCTATGTCACAGAAGAAGGCCATTTGACCTATTGAGATTTTCCTAGCTGTATGCTTAAAGAATTGTTCTATCGACAAGAATCACCAAGAGTCTTTCAACAGCATCTTCCAAATCTGCAGCACTTACCATGCAGAAGGGCACAGCTGCAGCAGGTTTATTTCAAACCACAAGCTTTCAGAGCACTGCTGCTTCGTCAGGTGAAGTCCAGTCCAACACTGGCACCTCTGCATCAAGTGCAGCAGGTGCATGACAGCACCACCTGCAAGTTGTCCTCCAAGTTGCGCATAATCTGACTTGGAACTTTATCTCTGTTCCTTCATTATCACCTTCCAAAATTCTCCAACTCCTTTCCTAACAGTGCTGCGGATGTACCTATGCTACATTGACTGCAGCAGATCAAGAAGGTGGCTCACTACTACTATTTTGAACTCCTCACCTTTTACAAAAGAATTTTAAAAAAAGAAATGTTATATTGTCACTTGTTACAGCACAATTTTCTTGTAACAGTTTTTTTTTCAGAAAGTACAGTTTTGTAACTGCTTTTGTCTTTTTCTATGATAGATAGTCCAAGATGATACTGTTACAGATTCTGTACAGTCACGTGGCAAGCTCCCAGAAGGGAGGCAAACTGCTTTAAATACAGGGAGCAAGGTAAGAGTAATGTTAACTTTGGCCATTTCTGTGAACAAAGATTTTCTTACATTCTTGATGTGGCTGTTCGCAACCATCATCATCATTTATAAAAGGTTTCCAATCAAATGATATTTACAAAATAAATGCCATAATAAATGTACTATTGATGTAAAGGCATTTGACTTAATTAGGATAGACAGAATAAAGTCATAACATTGATTTAAATTACTCAAATTGCAAAATTGACAATCTACTGATCTAGTCACTTTTTTTGTTCTCATATAAAAATGAAATTATCAAATAACTTTAATGAAGCAAAGTAGATAAAGGTGCAGTGGGAATTCCGTGGATTATTTTGAAACATCATTAGTTTGGATTCTGAGGAACTTGTGCAGCATAATATCAAAGCAGGATACTGTTTGAAACGCTAACTTTGCTTCCCTCAGTACAGATGCTGCCAGACTTGCTGAGTTTCTCTAGTATTTTGGTATAATATAAGACAGAACAATGTACTATTCTTTTGTATATTGTCAAATCTTTTTAATTCAAAATTGCTTGATTGAAACGATCTGCTAGTTTTTTCCAACCAGTTAATTCCCATTTTTCTATATTATTTACATTGCTTCGTTTATATTAGATAATTTTTCTCAGCGCAACAACAAAATGACTGAATTAGTAGACATTGATTGTGCAATCTTCTGTCGGTAGGTGGCACCAAGATGTACCACGTCTTGAATCATGTTTGAATTATCCATAACTTAATTTAAACAAGATCATTAATAGCAAAGGGTGTATTTACTGCTTTAAAGTTTAATGATCGTGTAGTTTTAAACAGATTGGAATCGTTAGGATTTGACTGTAAATAAAAGTCCACTCTTAATTAAATGTTAGTGGATTCAAACTTACTGATTTGATAAATTTCTGCTGTCTAATGCTGAATGATCTATACTCAGCAGAGGACTCCATTTTATCTTATTATATTCCCATCTCCATGAATTTCAGATATGACATGAGGCTGAACTCTTCTTTTGTCTCTGTACCCACTTCTTTGGGGTTAAGTCCTTCTTCCTCACTCAACTTACTTTTTCACCCATCTGTAATTTCCTCCTTCCGCGTGGACACCACACTTTGGTCTCTTGTGCACTTTTGATCTTTACATCAGGAACTATGAACTATCAGCCTTCTGAATTTTTCTCTGTTCTTCTCACCTATTCCAACATGACTTTCTCTGAATTTGCTGTATTGTATTCTCTCTGGTCTAATCCTGACATTGTTATCAATTCAGCATTTAAGGATGGTGCTGTTGTCACCTAGCATACTGCCCTCTACCTTGCAGAGACTGAGTGCCAGTAGCTGAATACTTTCCATCTCTAGCCCATGACCCTACTACTGAACATCAATCCAATGTTTCTAGGACTGTCATAGACCTCCTCTACTGTGGAGATTTGTGCTCCATAGCTTTCCCCAATTTCTCCTCAACCTGCTTGTACTTTTTTCCCCAAAATCTACAAACTGGATGGCCCTAGTAGATCCACTGTTTCGCCTTGTTCCTGTCCCACTAAGCTTATTTCATTTTATCCCCACTGTTCGTAATCAGCAAATTTGGCCACCGTACCTTTTGTCCCTTGGTCTAAGTCATTTTATCTAAGTTGTGAACAGGTGAGGTCCCAGCATTGATTCCTGTGGTACACCACTCATTGCAACTTGCCAACCTGAAAAAGACCCATTTATGCCTACTCTCTATTTTCTCTTAGCTGGCCAATCTTCTATTCATGCCAATATGCTGCCCACTACATCATGAGATTTTATTTTCAAGTGCCTTTGATGTTGCACCTAATCAAGTGCCTTCTGGAAATCTAATTATGATGCATCCACCATTCCGTTTATCCACAACATGTGTTACTTCTTCAAAGAACTTCAATAAATTAGTCAAGCATGACTTCCCTTCACAAAACCATGTTAACTCTGCCTGATTATCTTGAACTTACCCAAGTGCCCTGCTGTAACTTCTTTAACAATAACAGCAGTAATAGCTTCTGCCATTTTCCCCATGACTGATGTTTCGCTAACTGGCCTGTAGTTTCTTGTTTTCTATTCCCTCCCTCTTCAGATAGATGTGTTACCCTACAATCTAACGGGCCCTCCTCCGAATCTGGGAAGTGTGGAAAAATTAAAATGAATCCTCCATTTATCTTAGTCGCCACTTCTTTTAAGACCTTAGGATGAAGTTCCGTAAGATCTGTCATGCAACAACTCCAACAATTTGCACTGTATGTCTTCTGTGGTAATCTCCTGAGTTCCTCCCTCCCTTCGATTTCCTGATTTATGGTTGCTTCATTTTCAATACAAGCTGACCAATTCCCGTAGCTACCATGACTACACTTCCTCACATCGAACTTCCTGTTGAGATTACATTTCATTTTTACATGTTCTCCATCTCGATTGCGTATGATCCGATGCAACGTTTTATAACGTGCTCCTGAGATGCTTTCATTTTTTCTCAATTAAGGATTCCACTGCATGATGGACAGTCCAGTTCCCACAAATCTGCACTCGCTGTCTTCCCTGTCCTCCCTGAACCATGATAGGGTTCCCCCTTTCTTCACTTTCACCCCAGCAACCTGTGTAATCAATAGATCATCCTCTTATTTACACCATCTCCAACATGCCACCACCTAATATATTTTCCTCTTCTCTCCCGTCCCATGTCAGCATTCCAAATGGACCATGCCCTCTGCTGCACCTTGGTCCACTATTGTATCACCCCCAACACTTCATCGCCCTAATATCCCATCTTCTTCCTATGATAGACTTCCTGTGATTGCATGGAAGGTAACACTTTCTGTTTAATCACCTCCCTCTTCATTGTCCAGAGCAAAAATACTCCTTCCAGGTGAAACAGTGATTTACTTCTACTTCCAATCTGGTCTACTGTGTTTGCTGCTCACACTGCAATCTCCTCTGCATTGGGGAGACCATGATAGATTTGTGATAGCTTTGCGGGACACCACTTCCATTCAGACCTCAAACAACTTTCCATCCGAACTTTCCATTACCTTGCTGCTTTAATCCGTCACCTTGTTTACATTGCTGCCCTAAACCTATAGGTGTTCCAGTGGTGCCAATCGTAAGCTAGAAGTAAAAAACCTATTTTTCTGTTTGGGCATTTTTACATCCTTCTGGACTGAACATTGAGTCTAATAGCCTTAGACCATGAAATCTTTCCAACGTTTTACTTCAACTCTCACTCTTTGTCTCTGTGTGTGTGTGTCTCTCTCTCTCTGTCTCTTTCTCTCTCTCTGATTCTGTGAGTCTCTCTCTCTCTGTCTGTGTGTGTGTGTGTCTCTCGCTGTCTGTCGGTCTGTCTGTCTAGTTTGCCTCTTTCCATCTCTTTTCCTCACCCCTCCCCCGCCCCCCCCCACCCCAACCCCAGTATCTTGTTTTCCTGGTTTTGTTTTCAGCAGAGCTGATCTGTGTTCTGCTATTAACACCATACTCTCGACCTACTTCTTATCATTACTACTCCCTTTGATTTTTGTTCTGTGGCACCATTCCCTGACTTTGCCTTCCATTCCCTTCCATTCCATCTTTCTCTGAACTATTAAACTCGTCAATTCAAAAGAAGATCATACATGACTTGAGACATTAACTCTGTTTATCCCTTCACAAACTTCACAACTCACCAGACTGCTGCTCGAATTGTTTTTATTTCAGATTTCCAGTATCTGCAGAATTTTACTTTTGACTAGATAGATTGTTGTGTCACAAATCCCTATTTTGCCTATTTTAGTTGTTTTTAATTCAAGTTAACGGATGTTCTTTTTTTCGAATCAAGCACAACACATGTCTATGAATTTCCAAAAGTACATTAGAAATTTTCTGTCACTAGCTCGTAAAAGATGGCTTTTTAAGCTAATGCACTAATCTGTAAATATCATTCATTCAAGATCTTTAATAGAAAATCAAGATTTGGTTGAAAATAGCATGTTCCAATTATAATTACATTGTGATTTATAATATGCTATTTTTTGAATTGAGTTCTGCCAAATTCTAAAATGGCTACGTTTTTAAAAAGATACCCACAATTAGTGTTGTGTATCACCTGCTTGGCTCATAACCTTAATATTTGTATCAGTAACCTGTTGACTGCCCTGCAGAACCTTCAAGCTGGCTTTCAACGTGAGTGCACATGGCTAAAGTGAACCTTGCACTCCAGCCTTATTTTAGGCCAAGTAAAGCTCAGCTCTGTTTGGAAGTGGGAGTATTAATCAAAACTGCCGTCTTTATTTTCTCCTTGCCTCTCTCTTCCGTCCTCTCCCTCTCTCCTCCCTCCTTCCTTATTTTGTATTGGGTGTTGGTACGGCCTTTTTTTTAAAAAAAAAAAATTAATGGAATGTCAGTATTGCTAGCTGGACAAGCATTTGTTGCCCATTCTTAATTGCCTTTGAGAGGTTTGTGAGCTACCTTCGCGAACTGCTGCAATCCGTTTGTTATAGGTACACTCTCAATGCCATTGGGTATGAAAGCACTGCTGTAATGGTGATATTTCCAAGTCAGGATATTGAGTGGAGGGGAACTTGCAGGTGATGGTGTTCCCATGTATTTGCTAACTTTGTCCTTCTAGATGGTAGTGGTCATAAGTTTGGAAAGTGCTGTCTTAGGTGCCTTGGTACATTTCTGCATTGCATCTTATTTGCACGATCTGGTACGCAGTGCTACATCTGAGCATTGGTGGAGAGAATGAATGTTTGTGTAAGTTCCAAGATGGACCAGGCATAGTGTTAAAACAGCAGGAGCTTTATTATGGAGATGTTTACAGACAGCAAGGTGAGACTAAGATGTTTCCCACCCAAAATGGCAGATGCTGTCATTGTTATGACATGTGATTAGACTCTTAGTGACAATTCACCATACTTACACAAGAAAACCACCATATTTGCACGTAAAAACAACATCCCTTCCCTTTACATCAGAGGTTCCTCAAATGAAAACATGCACAGTATTTGCAGTCGAAAATA